CCCTAAACCCTTACATCCTAAACCCTGGAGTCCTCCTACGGCAGCGAACGGAGCAAAACTGTCCACCCATCGAGGCTCCTGGGTTGCAATCTTAGTACGACAGCAAAATTCAGAACCTCCCCGCGTACGGTTAAGGGTTAAGGTTTAGGGTTTAGGGTTTAGGGTTCATGCAAGTGTCAGACTCCTTCTAAATCCCAATCTTACGGTTGATGATATAAATCCCATAAGAAGAAATATGCCAGTATTCCCATAGCTTAGGGTCCTGAAGGTAATGCAGGATTTATATCATCAGCAGTAACATCCTAAAACACAAACCAAACTCCCACAAAGACTGAGGCTACAGCTTCGGGGTCGGCCCGCAACCTCTCATCGGCGAGGGAGAGGTGCCTGAAAGTGCCATGTAGGGCCGCTATAAGTTTCAGGGTTCGGAGTGTGTGGTCTTTGCCTCCTACTTCGCAAGGACGAGCTTGCCTGGGGTTTAGGATTTACGGATTTGGGTTTAGGGGAAAAGAAGAGGCCGTTGAAGCTTGAACAAGGCTCTCGATGGTCTTTCAGAGGAGTCTACTTTCCTCTGTGGTATTTGCAAAGGCAGTCCCTAAACCCTAAACCCTGAACTCTAAACTTCTTCGCTGTGGCGCAGCTAGGTTTAAGGGTACTCGGGAGGGGCCGAACAGGCAATGCTTTCCCCAATCGCTGCATCTGAACCTGCAGCACTGCATCATGACCTGTAAAAACTAAGCCCTAAACGGCCCTTAAGCTTAGACCGTACACCCTAAACCCTACACCTTGAACCCTGAAGCCCTACAAAAACCGAAAAGCCTTGCAAAACCCGATAACGCCCTTGAACATCCCGAAAGACCCAGTAAAAGCCTAAACCCCAACTTCACTTCCGCGTGAGGCACAATCCAGACATGCGGACCAAAAACAGCATCGTCTCCTTCCAGGGTTTGGGGTTATATAGGGGTTAAGCGGTTAAGAGTTAAGGGTTTCGGGTTTTGGGGTTTAGGGTTTATAGGGCTCCCTCACAGTAGGCTGCTCTTCGCTAAGGATGTGTGAGTAGGGTTTTGATGATAATTCAGGGACCGCAGTAATGTAGGGGCCGTTTTGGAGGTTCCTTATGATATTTACAGTAGAATATACGCCCAAACCCTATTCTAATTATTAAGGCCCCTATATTAGTGAGGATTTTGTGTGAGGCGCCTTACGAGCTTGCAGAAGGGTTTCTCGTAGAACTACGGTTGATAATATAAGTCCTGCATTACCCATAAGAAAGAAATATCATCAGTTCCCGTAGTTGAGGGTCCTTAAAGTAATGCAGGATTTATGCCATCAACCGTGTGATTCAGCGTCCTGTAGAATGCGACGAAGGCCCCGAGTGCTAGGACCATGCAGACGCGGTTTCGAGGTGTGGGGTTTCGGGCTTCATGGCCTGGGGGCTTGGACTTCGGGGGTGTATGAGTTCCGGGTTAGGGTTTAGGGTTTAGNNGTTTAGGTATTGAAGAGGATCGGGGCGTAGGATTTGCTTCTGCCGAGATGTGAGGGCCTAGGGCGGCCAAGCCATCTGGACCTGTCCGCTTTGGGGGGTTTAGCAAGCTTTGTCAAAACGAAGGCATGAAGCGACTACTGGATGCTTGCCGCTGTTACGCCACAGGCTCACCAGGTCCAGAACACAAGAGTTCGTAGCGTAAACGAGCCTATGCAGGGTGGACATTGTCATTAGCTGTCCGAAGCCTAGTCTGGCCGCTGCACAAAACATCCTCCTTGCTTTCGTCGTCGTTGTCCTACTCAGTCGCAGAACGAGGAACAGTAGCAGGACCGCCATCATCACCATCATCAGTAGCAGGAGCAACAGCAGAATGCATATTGATATACATGTTCATGCTATACCTGGTAGCAGCAGTCCTTAAGGGTCTTTATCCGCAGACTTGACGAACACTCCTTCAACAAGAGAGGGTGTGAAGTAGGTACCGGCAAGCTATTGAAGCACAAACCTCTCAGGCCTCAAACGGTAAAGCCTGAGCCACAGAAAACCCTAAACCCTAAA